TTTGTTTCAATGACCAATACTCACTTTAACAGTGTGAGAGGGAAGTCACAGGAGGCCACTGTTCTGGACTAAGACAATGAAGTCACACATGTTGAACTATGCTGAACTTCAAGTCACCAGGTCTAGACTAGACTGTTTATCTGACTTTCAAGAGACTCAACAGCCAATCTCCCCTTAGGCCAGTTTCATTTGGCATAAAAATGATGTTCCTTGTCTTTGCCTTATCTTAACCCACAGTCACCCAAGTAACCGGATGTTGACAAATCTCCATTTTGCTATCCATCTGTCTCCCTGCCCCTGCCTTACTAGGGAAAGTAACTCTGAAACAAGGGCCCTTTCCTGTCTATAGAACCAACCTCCTCTGCCCGGTTCACTGGGAAACTCCTGCCCAATTCTAGGATCAAAGCTAAAACCAACTAAGATCTTTTATTGTTGGGTTTGGTGGTGCACACCTGTAATCCCAGCACTCTGGGAGGCCGAAGCAGGAGAACCTCAGCGAGTTTGAGGCCGGCCTCGGTGGCCTCACAGTGAATCTCTGTCTCAAGGTAATAAAATACAATAAAATAAATTAAAATAAAGTTGTAATTTTTGTCCTTTGATAACAGTTACACATATTTGGTATATTTTCCAATTACGGTAGAGATAGTAAACTAACTTTTAAAATAATGTAAATATCTGTAAAGAGTGAGCCTGGTGAACGGAAGCTAGTAGGTGAGTTAATACAGTAGCAATGGCACAAGAACAAGAGGGAACCACGGCATAACAGGATTGAAATCTTGGATTGAAAGGTGGGAACAGTTTCCTGTGTGAATCCTTACAAACCTCTCCTGGATGCCAGGGGAGATCATCCTGTAAGAGCTTCTGCCAGCCGTGCTCTGCCTCCTGCTTGCAGGTTTGAGCTGTCCTTGTTCATTTAATTTATTTGGTGCCAGAGACGGAACATGCTAGGCACATGCTCCACGACAGAGCCACCCACCAGCCCTGAGCTGTTCTTGGGTCCCTGCTGCTATCTCTGCCCCAGGCACGGCCATCGCCACCACACCGAGGAGCTCACAGCTGTCCCCTCCCCGAGCTGCCTGAGTCCCTGACCTCTGCCCCATGCCAGGCTCTTGCTAGCCTGGCCTCACCAGCCAGGACAGGCATCTATACAACATGGGCTCTGGGGTGCCCAGGGGCGTGCCAGGAGCCAAGCCTTGGACACCACTTGTTCCTGGTGTGCGAGGGAGTGGATAGGCAGGAGCCACATCTCTCCAGCAGCTTCGTCGGAGGCCCTGCTTATGGCCCTCGCTGGTCCCAGCACACAAGTCACAGCTTAGTTCCACCCTCAGCACACAAAGGGTCCTTGTCTGTGTGCTGATCAGGAAGTGGGTGGCAAAAGTCACCAGGTTACCAAATATCCCAGGCCTTTGGCCATCTTAGCGCCTGGGGTGAGAAAGGAGACAGCTCTGACCCCGCTGGGGTAACAAAAGCAAAGTTTTCCCAGTTCCTTCCTCGTGCCTCACGAATTCCTCACCCTCACGAATGCGCCTCATGCTCAAGAGGTGGCCTTGATCATAAAAGACAAGATGAATGCTAGCATCGAGTTCTAATTCCGCACAGAGAAACCAAAAGACAGACAGGTCCAGCAGGAAGGTGCCTTTGGTTGGGCCAGGCAGGTGGCCTCAGGCAGCGGGAGCCCAGGGCGCAGCTTGGGGCTGTGGCATCTGGTTCTCAATCAGTTGGAACCACCCACTTCCCTAACGTGTGACTGCATCGATACCAAGATGGCTTTTTGGGTAAGAGATGATTTTTTTAATAAGGCATGCCATAGTTTCAATCAAATCAACCCCAATTCTAGGCTCCTTCAACCTTGTAATTTCTTTTCCCCTATGTTGGGAATCAAGCTCAAGGCCTCGGAGTGGTGGGCAAACTCTCTGCCACGGAGCCACACCCTAGCCTTCAGCTTCATCATCTTCAGAGAATTGCTACCAAGAGGATTTGCAATCGTGTCAAAACCAAAGCTTCAGCGTTGCCTCTTCTGAGGGATTAGTCAATGACCACAAATCACTAGCCTCAGTTTCCCTGCATCTAAAATCAGCTTCTTGTTGAAAAAAGAACATTACCAGAACAAACTCTGAAGAGAACTTCTGATGCTAGAAGCCCAGGTGTCTGTTCAGCAGAACTTCTGGGATGACCCCTTTCTTGCCTGATTTTTGGAAGTCACAAAAAGACTGTTTCTACTCCAGGGCTGACAAAGATAATTCCGTCAGTGAAGGCTGGAGCCTGCTTCGGCTGAACGCAAGGTGACTTGGGGGTAAGGAAACCCCAGCGCCTTCTCCAAGATGGAGCCTAGGTCTCCTCACAGACCATTAGGGTCCAGTCCCAGCCTCAGCTTCCTGATGGAAAAAAAGGGCAGAGAGGGCTGGTGCATAGCTCAGAGGCAGCACGTGCCTAACACGCTGCGGCCAGGGGCCCACCAGCATGAGGCTGGCACTTCCTGGGCACTGACATGCTCAGATTGCAATTTCCAAGTTACTGGCCTCTTGTGTGGCCTCCCTTCCACATCCTGCCACTCGAGCCTTCTGCTTCTACCCAGCCTGCAAAGCCTTTTCCCACCAGATTGTCCCAGCAGCCTCGGTGCCCAGAAGGTGCCAGGATTCTCCCCAGGGTGGGCAGTGCGTGGTCTGTCTTGATAACTAAGGACCAGACAGAGCTGGAGTCCTGTGTGGGGCAAGGTTTTGCTTTTGCAGCAGTACATCCTGGGCCTGCAATCACAATACCGAGCAGAGGCCAAGATGTTGGGTGTGTTGGTTAGGCACACCCTAACTGGGGAGCAGTGACATATGTACAGTCCAAGGACTGAAAGGTGATATATGTATTTTTTTTTTAAAGGTGGGTTTATAATGACCACCTGAAAGCAAGGGTGGAAGAATGCTAAAGGGCCAGCTATGAGATGGAGATCCAAAGGATCCAGCCGAAGTCGAAGGCCTGGAGCTCACTGCAGAGTCCTGTGTGAGTCCATATCAGTGAGCCAAAGGTCTGCACCGGAAGGCTGAAGAACCTGAACCGGAAGCCTGGAGACCCACGGTGAGGACTGGAGCCCCTCCACTGAAGCAGTAAAGTGAACCTCCCTTCTTTCCCTTTTTATTCCATCCAGGCTATGTGCCTAGTGGTTGGTGCCCCCCACACCCAGGGTGGGTCTGCCCTCCTCACTAAGTCTAGTACAGATAGCACTATCAGGTCTGGGAGATCACTGGCCCCCCACCCCCACCTGAATTTGGGCAATGCCCCAGCACCAATCCTCTTTCTGTTGTTCTGACAGAAGCAAAATTAAAAATACCAAAGACCAGGCAGGGAATATAGCCCAGCAGCACAAGTGCTTGCCTGGCAAGCACAAGGTCCTGAGTTTGATACCCGGTGCCCTCCCCCTCAAAAAAAATACTAAAGACCTCAGAAATCTCTATGGCCTGGGGCAGAGCACATGGACGTTAGACCTTGTGGCCTGACCTTCAGTTACCTTTTCCCACTTGAACCTTTCTAAGGGTTCATGCACATGGACTGCATCTCGTGTATGCAATTTAATCAGTGGATTCTGGGACAGGCCTGCATTCTTGAAGCCCCTGGGATGACTCAGCTCCTTGTCAATCATCCCTGTCACTGCTACCCAGAGACCCAATAAGAGACACCCAGGCTGGGTGCCCAGCTTTTAAACTCCAAAAGCCTGATGTTATCTGTGGTGATTTTTTATTTTCCTGTCTTCCCGACACCACTTTTCTGTTTGTGCCACCTGAGCATATCTTCTTGTTCTCTTCAGTAAGTGGGGCTACTTTTTCTTTTCCTACCAGACTTAGGCTTTTGATACTTTGCTTGCTGCACACAGGGCCTGGGGTCTACCGGATCCACCGTGTGGTAGGTATCAAGTCCGTCACACCCAGAACTGCTCAGAAAGCACCCACAAGGCATTCCTTATTCAAGTGGACACCATGGTTCACTACCACCTCGGGCTTGGTGGGAGATAAACCAGGGCTAAGAGGGCTGCGGGTGTGAGGGGTGGGCCTGGGAATCAGTAGTTTCTGGGAAATGTTAACGGAAGAGGTCCCCTACGTGAAAAGACAGACGCAGAACAACAGCCCATGCTGAAGAACTGAGTCGAATAAAAATCTCCGAGTAGAGCTTTTGCAAATGAGAGGGGTCTGAGACATAGAGAGAGGAGAGGAGGAGGGAATGTGCAAAAGCTGAGGTGTGTCACATCCCTGTACCAGCTCCCCATGAGGAATGCAGCTGCTATGCACTGCAAACATAGACTGAACCATAAAAATTTTAAAAGAACAATAACAATCTCTGGCACCAGCAGCAATTATAGTTGTTATGTGTAAATCACAGAGGGCAAAGGAGCAATCCCCAGGAAAGCTTCCCCTTCAAAAACATCTAGTACTGGAGCTGCTGCTCGCCAATGACAGCTTACCGGCCTCCAACACCACAGTAAATCTTCAGGATCCCCAAGCTGAGGAAACCCTACTCTCTAATCAGTGTCTTGAGGACTCTGTGGGACGCGGCGAAGGCTCCGTGCCCAGTACAGAGACGGGCAGCCAACCGGAAGGAACCTCTCACCCCGGCCTATAATGGGCAAGGAGACCGGCGGAGGGCGGGGGAGGGAGAGCCCTGTAAAGATCACTTGTGTCCAGCAGAGCTGGAGGGATTAGGGAGGCAGAACGGTCACTTTAACTGCTGATCTGAGGTCAAAAGGATAAGCACTGGACTCAGTTTTCTACGCTGGGGTTGAACTCACAGCCCTGCACACTCTAGGCAGGCACTCTGCCTACTGAGCTACACAGTAGCCCAGGCTTCCTACAGTTTGAATTTTCCCTGCAGCATTCAAGTAGCCACTTTAATCCCCGCTCCCACCTAAGCCTTTTTGGTTCTCGAAGGTATCCTGAGTTAGGGATTTTATGTCCGGGTGGTGGAAGGCAGAAACCACAGTTTCCTCTACCAGATTTCAAAAAGCATGACACAGGAGGAACTTGGTGAAAAACCTTCAGAGCTTTTAGTGATTTTTAAGTTCTGTCTCTCAAGGGCCAGGAGGAAAGGATATAGAAATGGGGATAAAACTGCCCAGCTGCTGGGGCCCAGGGGTGACGCTGGCATTTTCATGAGACTGAGAGGTTGGGCGGCAGTTTGGCTTAGGGGTTTCCTCTCCGGGCTCTGAAGCTAGAGATGAAAGGGCAGATATTCGGTCAACGCTGGCAGAGCCATGCCCTGGTTCCTGTAAAAATAAGAAACAGAAACAAAGAACCTGTTGTCCTGGTTGCCCTTGGAGCTGAAAACAGGCGGGCAGAAGGAGCCAGGCGGCTCTGGGCTCAGCCCCGCCGCCTTAAGCTGCCTGGGCAGGGGCAGCCGCACGTAGGATGACAGTCTCAGGGATTTCCAAGGTTCATTTCCCAGCTTGACTGACTCACCAACCAAACTTTAAGCAGAGACTGGTGGCGGGGCCAATCCAGCATTAGTAGAATGCACACCAAAGAAATGGAACAGCCAGGTGCTGTGCTGTACACCTGTAATCTCAACTACCTGGGAGACTGAGGCAAGAGGATCACAAGGTCAAGTCAGCCCGGGCAATTTAAAGAGAGCTAGTCTCAAAATAAATTTTAAAAGGTCTGGGAAAGTAGTTGGTGGTAGAGTGTTTGCCTACTATATGGCAGGTGCTGAGTTCAATCCCCAGTACTGTAAAACAATAAGTAAATAGTCAGCCCACCCAACATAAGTAAGCCTATCTTAGTGGGCGAGTTTGTGGATTTTTTTTTTTTTTTTTTTTCGTTTTGAGACAGGGTCTTACTATGCAGCTCAGGCTAGCCTTGAGCTCACTTTGTAGCCCAGGGTGGTCATAAACTCACAACGATCCTCCTGCCTCAGCCTCCCAAGTGCTGGGATTACAGGTGTGTGCCACCATGCCCGGCTTGTGGACATTTTAATTTTTATTTTCTGCTTTGTTTTTTTCCCCCACAGTGTACATATTTAACTTTTAGTATTTTTTTGGTGGGGGGTACTGGGAATTGAACTCATGACCTCAGGCTTGCCAGGTAAGTGCTTATTCCGCTGAGCTATACCCCCAGCCCAACGTTTAGTGTTTAAAAGAAATTTTTTTTTTTTTTTGAGACAGAGTCTCACTATGTACCTCAGGTTGACCTTGAACTCACTATGTAGCCCAGGCTGTCCTGGAACTCACAGCAATCCTCATGCTTAGGCCTCCCAAGTGCTGGGATTACAGGCATGAGACTGTAATCCAGAAAGAAGAAAGAAATCTTAAATGTTCTTTCAAACAACTTTTCTAACAAGATGGCGATCACTGACTGAGACAGACTAAGTAGGTCTCCAGGGCATTCATGATCTGTTCCCACACCAGTGTACCTCCCTGTTGGCTAAGGTTGACGGCAAGTCTGGCCTCTTCTAAAACCAGTACCGGCTTGGAATCACCTGCATGCGGCTCCTCCTCCTCTAGTGCTCTTCTGTCCTCATTCCATTCCCTGCAGCTCACTTGTTTATGGGCTTTTCTCCCTGGGGTCAAGTCTCCAGTCTCCCCTGGCAGGAATTTTGCCAAATAGCACCCACTCAGTAAGCACTACCCTGCCGCTGAACTTAGTTATCACCAGCCTAGGAACACGAAAAGCACAGAGGTGGACAGTGCTCCCCATGCTTGGACCCCATATTCAAGATGCATGGCTTGAGGGGGCGATGGGGGAAATTGATCTAACTAGTCACTGCAGAAGATTCCAGAAGATTCCAGATGGGTGAGACGCCAATAGGTGTTGGCCAGAGCGACCACTGGGTAGGAACTGCCTCTGGGAATAAAGCCAGACACACGAGTGTCCCCGGGCCGCTGTGCCAAGGGGAAGGGCGTCTTGGGATGTTTGGGACAAAGGATCTTCAACTGCCTGTCAGAATGTAGCCTTGACCCAAGCCCAGGAGAGAGAATGCGGACGGACAGGCCACACACCACCGGAATGGGTGGAAATGTGCACTTGTAATTCTCGGAAACAGACAGGGTATAAGGAGGAGCCAGAACTTTGTGAACACCAAATATATATATATATATATATATATATTTACAAGGAGCCTGAGATTCTACAAAAAGAGCCCAGCTTTGTCCTGCACTATGATAGTTTCTAGGAGGAGCTGCTCCTGGTGCCTGAAACCTTCAGCCTGGGCCTACGCGTGGCCCGGTGCTGACCGTGGTGTGGGCAGGTGTCCAGGCATGGCGAGAGGAATTATTTGCTTCAGCGGCCAAGCCTGTGCGGGACAGATGCTGGGAAAGAAGTAAAGGCAGAGTGACTGCTTGCAATGGTGTGACCTTGCTTGTTAAGGACCTCGGGAGTAGAGCTTTCAAGATCCTCAAAAGAGTAGATTAAAGTCCCGTCTGGTCAGAATGCAGATACACAGAAAGACAGAGTGGAACAAAGTTCAGATGACCTTCCACATTGCTTGTCACCAAATAGGAGAAGCCCGTGGGTTTCTTCACAGGAGAGCAAAAGAATACAAATCCTTGAAGTATAGTTTCTTTATCACTTGAAGAAAAAAAGATAGAAAAGGAATAAAATGAAGTGGCTTTAAAGTCTGTGTTTTGGTGGGTATGCTGGCCTATACCTGTAATCCAGCATTCGGGAGGCAGGAGGATTACTGAGAGTTTGAGGCCAGTATGGGCTACATAGTGATTTCAAGGCCAGCCTGGAATGCAGAGCAAGGCACTGTCTCAGAAAACGAACAAACAAACAGACAGAAAAAAGCAAAAATAATTCTGTGTCTGTACTCATTGAAGTTGAAGACACGTACATACATTTTTTTTTTAATTAGCAAAAATTGTACCATATACAGGTGTATTCTGAGTTTAAGGAGGGGACCTAAAGTTTGAAAATAGCTGCCCTGTCTTCAGTCACACAGCTTTCTTAGTCATGATGCAGACAGTGGCCCAGCCTAAGTCAGTTCATGAGATGCCAAATATTTCTGCATGTGAGTAAAAGACAAAGTACAGCAATAGACTCTAAGGGGTGGGGAGAATTTCACTGCCATTATTTTCTGATTAAATTGATTAGATCTAAAATTCAAAAGCAGAAATGTCAGTAGTAAGATACCAATTCACACTCATACACTGCTCCTAACTGCTGGTTATTCTACTTTCTCCCCCCACCCCCCACTGGAAATACCCTCTGCCATGATGGGCTTCCTTCACCATCATCAGGGAATGGGCTGTGGGCTCAGAATTCTCCTCCTTCGGCCCTGGTCTTAGATCTGTGAAAATGTGGGTCCTGTCAGACCCACAGACTTTCTATTCCAAGTCCAGGGAGCTGAGATGACTCCTTGTTTCACAATGTACAGGTCCTCCTGTTTCCTTCTATCCTGGTTTCAGAAACGCTCAATCAACACAGCCACTAAATGCGTGGCCACAAAACCGTCGCCAGAACCTAGTGTAGATGCCATGGAGAATCTGGGACCCTCAGTGAGCCTATGTGGAAGCACGAATCGATACCAACACTTTGGGGACTATGGGCCGCTAGCTATTGAAGTCGAGCGTAGAACCGCCCAAACCTCAGTCCCTCCAGTCTTATATTGCTGTGTCCAGGAAAAGACGCACACGACGATGTCATGGCAACATGGCTCCAATACCTCACACCTGATCCAGCTCAAACACCTGCCGGTAGGAGAATGGAGCAGCAAGCTGTGTATTCACACAATGGATCCCACGCAAAGTAGCAAAAGAAGAGTTGTATAAGCACTGCTGTATGAATCCAGTTATGTGACATTCAAAAGCTGCAGAGTGGGCTAGGGGTCTAGCTCAGGATACAGCCCCTTCTTGGGGTGTGTGAGCTCTCGGGTTTAAACCCTGCACCAAAAATCAACCCAGTAGAGCATAAAAAGCAATCAAAAAGCAAGAAAACAAAACACGAGCCGGGCGGAGCTAATGAAGGGCCACCGGGGTTCCACGGTGTTTCCCCTCGGTGTGACAATGACCAGGTGGGGGCCCCGGGGATGTCAGCAGTGCTCTGCTTTGGCTGTGGCTCTGTGGTGTGTGAGTTCACGGACCCCCACACCCCTCTGTGCACTGCTGCTGAATCACGCTTAATGCCAGTGGCAGGATGTTTTATAAGCAGCGCCTGCCCTGAGTCGTTTTCCCTCCCCAGGCCACATAGCAGCTTGTGTGGCCGCCACTCTCCCTCTGTCCTGAGTGGGGGGCCCACACCTTCTTTTCTGACCTTGTGTCCTGACCCTGGACAACACAGAGGGCTGCCAAGGGACATGTCCGTGTCACTGTCCCACGGCTGCCAGGAAGAGCAAGCTTCCTGGAAGGGGCTGCTGCCGCTGGCTACATTGTAGCAGTGTGGGGTGAGGAGAGGGGGTGTTGCTTCTCCCCCGTCTGCATCCCTCATCCCTCTAAGCAGAGGCCCAGCCAGGCAGCAGGAGAGTCACACAGGTCAAGTGGCACAGGAGGAGCTGACAAAGGTGTGATGGCCTTAACGACCTGATCCAGCCAGGTTCCTCAGGGAACCTGCAAGCCCAGCCAGAGCCTGGGAAATGCTCCTGGTGTTGTTTTGTGGATCCCTCTCCTTTGCCTGGGGCCAAAGGAATCTTTGGCAACTTTGTCACCTAGGGTGTGAAGTGGGGCATTGGTCTGCCTCAGCTTCCAGCCCCGAGACCCCTCCCTATGTGGACGTAGAGACTACCGTGTCCCTCTCCTCTGGGGAGGGTAGGCTTAGAAGAAAAGCAACAAGAAATGCCGACGAAGGACCGTGGATGGTCTGCAAAGGGCAGAGGTGGCTTTTACCCGCTGCCATCCTCTTACCCCAGGACCTGGTCAGCCACCTCACCAAGCTGACAAGAATGCCAGCTGGACGCAGGAGGGAGGGGATACAGGCCCTGTTATTTCCCAGGGAGCAAGATCGAGGCCTATTAGGCATTTTCAATCTTTTCTTTCTCTTTTTCACAAGTGGGTTCGAGACAGGGTTTCACTATATAATTCAGGCTGGCCTTGAACTCACTACATAGCCCAGGCTGGCTCAGAGTTTTTGGCGATCCTCTTGCCTCAGCCTCCTGAATGTTGGGATTATAGGTGTGTGAGCCACTGCATCTGGCATAACTTGTTCCTTCCTTATTGGCCAGCACAGGGATGCCTTGATTCACTGAGAGGCCTTGGACGCTTTAACATCATAGAGCCCCCAACGGCCTGGGTGCCTTACACTCCCTACTCCACATGCAGCTGTCATGCAGATGCCATGCTAAAGCCATTCTAGGCAATGAAGTCACGGCAGTGACTGACACACCGAGCCTCTCTCTCCTGGAGCTTTCTTTCTAGCGGGAAAGCCATAAGACATATGATTGAGTAGGCAGTGGCCCCTCTGTACCCCAGGGTGCCCAAGGTCCCTGCTCCCATGGACACCAAAACCAGCAGGTGCTCCTGTCCCTCGTATAAAATGGCATAGTATTTCACAGAACCTATATGCATCCTCCTGTGTGCTTAAAATCACCTTTGCATCACTTATAATCCCTAGGATAGCTGGACATGGTGATGCATGTCTGTAAACCCAGTATTTAGGAAGCTGAGGGAGGAGGATCACCACAAGTTCAAGTTAAGCCTGGACAACATAGTGAGTTCAAGGCCAGCTTTGAACTAGTGAGACTCTGTCTTAAAAACAAACAAACAAAAAGTGAGCTATTAAGTTTTGTAGATGAGCAGAGAGGATTTAGGAGAGAAGAGCATGAGCACAAGGCCCGCCCCAGAGGTGCAGTTAGCAGCCAGGACAGATGGGGCCTGTGAAGGGATCCGTAGTCCCACCTGGGCCTCCACACACTGAGTAGATCTTTGGATACGAACCTCTGGATTCAAAAAGAGGCTGAGCCCAGAGGTGTAAGTTGGGAATCACCAACGTGTGGGTGGCCTCAAAACCACAGCCTGGATAGGGTAACCTAGATTACTCAAGGGACCTCCATTTGAAGCAGCACACACCATCTCTGGCACGTGCTGGGTGCTGTGTTAAGTAACCTCTTTAGACTTCCTGACAACGATTTGGGGCTGCTTTGATAATTTCCCCACTTACTGACGTGGACGTTGTGATGCCAAGATTTTTAAATGTGTTGTGCAACACCAGTGGAAGACAGCAGAGCACAGGTGTGAGGAGAAAAGGTTCTCGGCGGCAGCTCTGGGGAACTCAGGGCTGAGTGGTAAGGTGTCAGGGACCAGTCAGAGATACACCAGGCAAGGGTTCCCAGAAACAAGGCCAAGACCTGTCAGATGCCACTGCAGGGAGAGGCAGAGCCCAACGCCCTGCAAACACCATATACTGCGTCAAAGAAGACAATTCAAGCAGGCTGTAGAAGTACACACCTATGATCCCAGCACTGGGGAGGCTGAGGCAGGAAGATCACTGTGAGTCCAGCCTGGGCTACATAATGAGTTCAAGTCTAGTCTGAACTACTTAGCGAGACTTTGTCACAAACAAAACAATTCATCTTGCCTTTTCTTTCTCATTACTTTTTTAAGAAGCCAAGTAAAATGCCTCTAGAAATTAATAAATCCAGCATTAACCAACATGGCATTGAGAACATGTAACATTAATCTGAAAAAGTATACAAAGTCTTTGTAGCATACTTATAATCACTCTTACAGGGAAAGGAAAAGGAGAAAACAGACCTATGGGTATGGCTCAATGACAGAGTCTACCTATCCACCCATCACTGAACCACCCATACACCTATCCATTACCCATCCATCCATCCATTCATCCATCCATACACCCATCATCCATCCATCTAACCATCCATCACCCATTTATCCATCCATCCATCCAACCATCCATCCACCCATCATCCATCCATCTAACCATCTATCCATCCATCCACCCATCCATCTAACCATCCATCATCCATCCATCCATCCATCCAACTATCCACCCATCACCCATGTATCCATTCACTCATCATCCATGAGATGTAAGATTAAATGAGCACCCAGCTGTCCCACCTAGTACCTGTTGAAGCCCAGGAACAAGGTCTGGATAGCCCCTCACATGTTATCTCTCTATTTTTAGAACCCTAACCACACCCAGGACTCATACAAGGGGAGGCATTCTTGCCTCTCTGGGTGTCTGTCACCTGCAGAGCTTTGTTCCATCTCACTGATATTTTTCTATGTGGAAGAAATCAGTGCTACTAAAGCTGCTCTCATGCTGTGTCATCAACCCAGACTCCCAGTTTAATTTTAGCTCAACAACACAAAGGGTAAAGAGGAACCCCTGGCTGAAGATCCGTGGTGTTTGAACCACTCTGAATGTGGGACGGCAAGTTCCCAGCTGAAAATCAGTGTGCATTTGTCAAGTTCATGGGCAGAAAACTTTTAGCTCATTGGAGCCCTTCATATAGAGGTTGAAAGGAATCTTAGAACACCAAAGGGCATGGGGAACAACTGGTCTACCCATCACTTTGCAGCAAAGGCAAGGAATGAAGGCTAGGGAACTTCACAGCCAAGGGGCAATGCAGTTCCTCTAGGGACAAGGACATCAAAGCACACTGGCATCAAAGCAGTACCCTGCTGTAGCCAAGTCCTTCCCTGGGACTTGCTTTCTCCTCCCTCTCCTCCTCGTCAGGGAACAAGTTAAGCTGGTTTAAAACTTGCTGAGACAGCCAGAACCACCCTGCCTGCC